GGAGTATATTTTGCAGGGGGAATCATTATTGCAACAATGTTATCCCAAAACGGATCACGTATAAGACAAAAGCAGGTATAAAAATCGCATTCCCACTAAAACAATTCAAAATCATAGATTAGGCTTTAAAAGGAGGCAGCTACAAATCTAGGTTTGAAAAGCCTTTAGACACACTAAAGATTTGTCCCAGATCACATCGGACGTCATTTCTCTAGGATCATAACAAAAGGAGTGATAAATTAATTCAAATGGCCTATTTTACACACTTGAAGGGTATTTCTACTGTCACATAGAGCCATTCCGAATAGGACAGAGTCACATAATGAAACTTCCTTTGCACATTCTTCTGAACACGCACTCAAGATAACCAAACCCCTTACTTTCATTGTAAAATTACTGTTTCTCATTTGCAATCAGGGTCTCCCAGATTATGACATGCAACCCTAAAAATAGGAGAACTTAAAAGTTAGTTTAAATCCAAAACTTAGACCTAGAGCTCCATTTTTAGACTCACCCTTTAATTTCTTGGTGTTGTCTACATTTTACTTAAATTTAGCAAAGTAATTTTAGCTCACCCTCCTTCACTACCTTCACTAGACTTTGCAAGGTTACAAACACGAAGCATTCAAGCTTCTCTCTTTTTAATATGAAAATGTTTTAAATAAAAAATAAAGTGAAAAGGGGAAGATCTCTCTTTTAACTTTAACTTTTTTAGCTATGTTGAAGAACTGGTTCAGGTGACAGCCCAGCCATTGGAAAACTCCTGTTGTTGTTTGTTTACAAAGTAACTGCTTTCAATCAATCACTGTGAGAAGTCTTACACTGACAGTGCATCATGTACAGCTAATTAACTGACCCCTAACAAGGGTGTGGGAAATACCAGGGAGAATGCTATAATGCAAGGAACAGCAACAAGACGGAAGGGTGGCTGGTCACTGCCACGCAGGAGCATCCCCAAATACCGCAGTGATTTTCAGAGTTTTCAAAAATCCCCTACTCACACCACTGCCACCAAGTATCATAATCTTCTGAAACTGCACCCCAAAGATCTGAACGTCTGTCATATCAGCCTATTTTTCGCACAAATGTTGCTCCTAAGATTCAAATTCAAGGTGTAGAACATTAAACAATAGCTGTATTGTGAAGGACCATGCTCCCTGGGAAAGCCCAAGAATCCTTACACATTGGGGAAAGAAAAAAGAACTCCTTTGCCATACTCCTTCTCTCTGGAAAACTGCCTCAGACACAAAGGGTAAAGAAGCAAAGAGGTGACAAAAAGAGACCTGCATTCGGAGAGATCAGCTCTCAACTTAAACTGAGAAATGACCTGCAGCATCATAGAGCTGGGATTTCGCTACCTTGACCAAACTGCCTCCCAGACTCCGTAAGTCGCATTAGAAATGTAGGTGTCTGGCCGGGCGCGGTGGCTCACGCCTGTAATCCCAGCACTTTGGGAGGCCGAGGCGGGTGGATCACGAGGTCAAGAGATCGAGACCATCCTGGTCAACATGGTGAAACCCCGTC